AGGGAGGTGCCTGCAGCAGCCCCTTTCCTCGTTAGGCTTCGCTATCTGTGGCCTAGTTTTTACTCATGACCAAATGAGACTGAATGGGGAAAGTTTTCTCTAATCCTTGTAGCAATAGAGAATCATCACCTAATCACCACTGTCATTGCCTTCATGAGCGGGAATTGCATAGTTGGTCTTTTACTTCAGTTTCTTTCCACCGACCAGTGAAACTGGGGACATCATCGTCCTGTTTGTGGCCATATCCCCCATGGGATGGCAGACAACCCAGGGTCTTGAATGGTAGCGAAAGCATCGGTCTTGCTGTTGCCATATGTTCACAGAATAAATGACTGTGAGCGACTCCGTGACTTCAGTTTATCAGTGTGCACGTCATTGAAACAATCGTGCTCAGATCTGTAAGTTTTTTTTTTAATGGAGATTGGCTTTTGGTTTGGGAACCTTGCTGTCCTTTTTCTGTGCTCCTCATTCATTTATCCCAGGGATCACCTGTAAGCAGGTCTTAAATGTAAAGTTCTATAAACGTTTTGAGAGCCTGTCACATAGGTGTTAAATATAACTGTATGGGACATTATGGTAATTTTCAGATTGTACTTTTTAATTAAAATGATTTTGTTCTGTCTTTTGGATTACAATAATAAGGCAAGACAGGCAAATGAATAGCTTCTTCCTCATGAATAGCAGTGAGGCAATTGCTAGGCAGAGACGAAATCAGGGAGGCTCAGCCTATTCCCTTCAGACCTTCTCTTCCTTCTGCTGGCAGCCAGACCTCACCACTCCACAAGTTCTCTCTCTATTTCTTAGCAAGCCTCCCTATCTGAGTGAAATGTCTCCAAGGATTACCTCCCTCCATGCTCCTCTATTCTTCTACTGTCTGCATCAAGGGTTACCTTGTTGGCACCATGTCAGTCTTAGAATTCATTCATAAATATATCTTACCTTGGCTGGGATGACAGTCTCTGGTAGTGTTCCTTAGGAATGATCGTTCCAGACAGGGAACTCTCTGGTGTGGCCATTACCTTCAATATATGGACGCCTTTTTTTTCTCCGACAAGTCCTAGAGAAGAGACTGATTGTTAAATAATCACCTCTCCTGGATTTTGCTGTCCACAGTCCAAGCAGTTGTGATGAAATAGTTCTCATTTTCCACCAGGCACCTTCCAGATAACCACCTTTCATTGTTAGTAGCAAGTATCCATTTAGACTGGCATCCTGTAACCTCTCCATGAAAAAATAAAAATGTTGTTGAGTTAAGGTAGCATAGCTTGTTCCCCAAGTGGTTGAGGCGCCTGTGTAAGGATGGTAAGGCGGACTAATGGTTTTAAAGTAATGCTGCGCCATCCCTTCGTGTCTTTGGCAGATGGTGTGGTTTGTTTAGAAAGATTCTGTTGCTCAGTAGAATGATATTCCTGAGCCTTGCGAGAGTTCCACCTGTGCATCGGCCTTGCGGGTAGGTTCACATCATTAGTTTGCAGACTTTTTCACTTGCTTGCAAGATTTGTTTATCTCAACTCTTAGTGAGTGACATTCTGAATCTCTGCTTCTGAATCTAAGAGAGCACAAGCATCTGTTTGTGAGCAGTGTTAGGAGTTCAGATAATCAAAATCATCAGTCAGAATTACTCTCCTGGTGACTCACCTGGAAACAGTTGATCTTGCAGGAGAGACCTCGGAAGCATGGATGGAGAATCTTTGATCAGAAGAGATCTCTGTGCACGCTCCTTGCTGAACATATCGTTTGTATCTTTCTGAAGCACTTGTCCCCTTCCCCTTTTTGTTAAGAGTGATTTGTGCAGTGGCTGTGTCCCCACTACTTGTTCACAAGCCTCATGGAGCAGGAGCCGTCTTGTTCATTCTCATACCTCTAGGACCTTGCAGAACGGTCTTCATGTTAATAGGAGTTTAATGATTCTTTGTGGAATTGAAGTGAATTGACTTGTCACTGTTGGTCTGAGAGGCTTTTTCAGCAGTACCAGCTCTTGGACATGGCAGATGTTTTGGTTGCATTGACTTTTGTCCCCTGGGGCTTGTCAGTATTACTGGGACGCCTGCAGGTGTGCTTTGGTTGTCAAACAAAATAGTTCAATCAATAAACATGTTCCTGTTACGTGCCACGCACTGTGTGAAGTGCTAGGGATACAAAAAGAAGCAAAAGACAGTCCTTGACCTCAAGGACCTTACAGTCTAATGGCAGAGACAACGTATGTGTGTGTGTGTGTGTGTATATGTATGTATGTATACATATATATATTTATGAAACAAGCTATATGCCAGATAAATGGGAAATAATTAATAGAGGGAAGGCCCTAGAATTCTTGTTTGTTTGTTTGTTTGTTTTTTTAGGCAATTGGGGTTAAGTGACTTGCCCAGGGTCACACAGCTAGTAAGTGTCAAGTGTCTGAGGCCAGATTTGAACTCAGGTCTTTCTGAATCCAGGGCTGGCACCCTATCCACTGCACCATCTAGCTGCCCCCCAGTTTCTTTTATATCATCACGTGTACAGTTCTGAGCATTATAGTTTAGGACATTAGGATGTTGATAATCTGGAGAGTGTCCAGAGGAAGGTAATCAGGATAGGGAAGGGCCTTCCTTGAGATCCTGCCATGGAAGCATTGGTTGCAGGGATTGGCTGTGGAGGAAGAGAAGACTTGGGGAGGGGGCTTTAGGGCTGGGAGAACGTGACGTCTGTCTGTAAGCGTGAAGCTTCCCCGCAGTGAGAGCTGTCCAGAAGCGGGATGGTTTGCCTCAAGAGTTAGGGGGTTCCCTTACCCTTGGAGGTCCTTAAGAAGAGGCTGGGTGACCATTCATCAGGCTGGGAGGACATGATTCCTTGTCTGTGGGGTTGGATTCCACGGCTGCCAAGCTCCCTTCCACCTCGCAAAGCCTCTGGTTCCTTGAAGTAAGACTCTAGTTGTCATCTTGTCACTGTTGGAAATTAGCGATGAGTCTCCTCCCCTATACTTACGATCCCTGTAACTTTCCAAACAAAAGACCTGCCTCTGGCCACCTGTGCCTTTTCTCTTTGTATCCACAGGGCTTCGCTCCGTGCTTGGCACAGAGCAAGCACTTAATAAATGCCGCTTCAGTTAATTCACTGAATCATTCGGTCATCATTGCCATCTTTCTGGAATGATTTTGGGTCTTCCTGCTACCTTTTTGGTAGCTACCTTTTGGCAGCCAACATGACAGTGGATGAGAGCTATCCCTGTGGATTCTGGGAGTAGCTGGAAGCCCATGAACATGGAGAAATGTTTAACTTCCCTTTGTTAAAAACTCTAACCTTGACCTCACGAGAGGCCTGCATTGAAGTAACCTTTTCTCTTTCCCTTTTCCTTTTCCCTTTTCCTTTTCCCTTTTCCTTTTCCCTTTTCCTTTTCCCTTTCCCCTTTCCCCTTTCTCCTTTCTCCCTTTTCCCTTCCCTTCCCTTCCTCCTTCCTTCTTCCTTCCCTTCCTTCCTTCCTTCCCTTCCCTTCCTTCTTCCCTTCCCTTCCCTTCCCTTCCCTTCCTTCCCTTCCTTCTTCCTTCCCTTCCCTTCCCTTCCCTTCCCTTGCCTTCCCTTCCCTTCCTTCCCTTCCTTCCCTTGCCTTCCCTTGCTTCCTTCCTTCTTCCTTCCCTTGCTTCCTTGCTTCCCTTGCCTTCCCTTGCCCTTCCCTTGCCTTCCTTCCCTTCCCTTCCCTTCCCTTCCCTTCCCCTTCCCTTCCCTTCCCTCCCTTCCCTTCCTTCCCCTTCCTTCCTTCCTTCTTCCTTCTTCCTTCCTTCCCTTCCCTTCCCTTCCCTTCCTTCCCTTCCCTTCCTTCCCTTCCTTCCCTTCCTTCCCTTCCTTCTTCCTTCCCTTCCCTTCCTTGCCTTCTTGTTCCTTCCCTTGCCTTGCCTTCCCTTCCTTGCCTTGCCTTCCCTTGCCTTCCTTGCCTTCCTTGCCTTCCCTTCCCTTGCCTTGCCTTCCCTTCCTTCCCTTGCCTTGCCTTCCTTGCCTTCCTTGCCTTCCTTGCCTTCCCTTCCTTGCCTTGCCTTCCCTTCCTTCCCTTGCCTTCCTTCCCTTGCCTTGCCTTCCCTTGCCTTCCTTGCCTTCCTTCCTTGCCTTGCCTTCCCTTGCCTTCCTTGCTTCCTTGCCTTCCCTTGCCTTCCCTTGCCTTCCCTTCCCTTGCCTTCTTCCCTTCCCTCCTTCCCTTCCCTTGCCTTCTTCCCTTGCCTTCCTTCTTCCTTGCCTTCTTGCCTTCCCTTCCCTTCCTTCCCTTCCCTTGCCTTCCCTTCCCTTGCCTTCCCTTCCTTCCCTTGCCTTCCCTTCCTTGCCTTCCCTTCCCTTCCCTTCCCTTCCTTCCTTCCTTCCCTTCCTTCCCTTCCTTCCCTTCCTTCCTTGCTTCCTTGCCTCCTTCTTGCCTTCCCTTCCCTTGTTCCCTTCCCTTGCCTTCCGTTCCTTCCCTTCCCTTGCCTTGCCTTCCCTTGCCTTCCCTTCCCTTGCCTTCCCTTGCCTTGCCTTCCCTTGCCTTCCTTCCCTTCCCTTGCCTTCCCTTGCCTTCCCTTGCCTTCTTCCTTCCCTTCCCTTCCTTGCCTTCCCTTCCCTTGCCTTGCCTTCCCTTGCCTTCCCTTCCCTTCCTTCCCTTGCCTTCCTTCCTTGCCTTCTTCCCTTGCCTTCCCTTCCCTTCCCTTCCTTCCCTTCCCTTCCCTTCCTTCCCTTCCTTCCCTTCCCTTCCCCTTCCTTCCCTTCCCTTCCTTCCCTTCCCTTCCCTTCCTTCCCTTCCTTCCCTTCCCTTCCCTTCCCTTCCCTTCCTTCCCTTCCTTCCCTTCCCTTCCCTTCCCTTCCCTTCCCTTTCCCTTTCTCCTTTCCTTTCTCTTTTCCCCTTTCCTTTCCCTTTTCCTTTTCCCTTTCCCCTTTCTCCTTTTTCCTTTCCTTTCCCCTTTCCCCTTTCCCCTTTCCCCTTTCTCCTTTCTCCTTTCCTTTCCTTTCCCCTTTCCTTTCTTTTCCCTTTCCCTTTCCTTTCCTATTTCCTTTCCATTTCCAAGGAACCTGGAGCCAGTTACCCAGCTGTATGTCAGTGTGGATGCCAGCACCAAAGATAGCCTAAAGAAAATTGATCGGCCACTCTTCAAGGATTTCTGGCAAAGATTCCTCGACAGTTTAAGAGCGTTGGCTACAAAGGTACGTGTTGAGAAAATGTCAGACCTGTAGTTCGCACCTGTCACGTCTGTTCTGCCTTGAAAAGTTCAGACCCCCGGGGCCATTGTGGATCATCTTGTCTAACCTCCTCATTTTATCACTGGAATAACCACGACCAGAAACACCAAGCGTCCTGCTCAGGGTCATTCAACAAATAGCAGAGCTGAGTTCCGAACCCGTGTCCTCTTTTTCCAAATCTGGCCCTTCCTCCCATGGGATAAAGACTGACATGGTGACTGGTCGCATGATTTTGGGGGTGTAAGGAACTCCCCCTCTCAGTGCTGGCTGACACCTTCTCTGTGGCTTTTAGCCTCAGAGAGCCACCTAGGCCACTGAGGGTGCGAAGACTGGCCTGGGGTCACCCAGCCAGGATGGGCAGAGGTCCTCCTGACTCCTCAGCTAGCACGATCCCACGAGGTTTGTTCAGTCCATTACCTCATGGGAGTGTAACCATTGCCCTGGGCCTTACAAGAGTGATCTCCATTTTACAGATTAGGAAGTCGAGGCTGGGCAGGCTGAAGTGACTTGTTGAGGTCCCACACTGAGGTCATAGCAGAGGCAGAACCTTGGCCCTAAGTCCAGGGCTTTTTCCTTACTGGCTTGCTCTTTTCCTTTTTTTTATTTTCCAAATGATCATTCCATCTTCATCTTCCTCCTCTATTCATCCATTCACCTAGTATCCTTGTGTGTGTGGGTGCATGGCACTGTGGAATACAGGGTGTGTATGTGTGTATATATATATACACCCCATTGTGCCCTTGAAATGCTCACCATCTTGGTTGGCTTGCAAAGACATGATTTTACACACACACACACACACACACACACACACACACACACACACACGTACGCGCATGCGCATATGTGAGAAATAGTCTGGTTAAATGGGGATTTCCTAGATGTAGGGAACTCCCAGGGGAAGAAACTCTCTCCACCAGTGCAAGTTGGCACCTTCTCTGTAGCCTTTAGTCTTTGAATATTGAAGGGCTGAATGCTTTGTCTGGGGTTACACAGCCAGGATACGTCAGAGGCGCCACTTGATCCCAGGTCTTTCTGATTCCTGAGACTGGCTCTCTATCTCTGTTGTTCCTAATACGAGTTAATACAGTTATCCGAGATGTTGTCCCATGATGGGAACGACGCTCTGCAAACCTTTGTCCTTCAGAGGTAGGCTGACGTCTTGTCAGGCATTCTGATTAAAAACGCTCTCCAGAGCCTGCCTCCTCGTGAGCATCTTACCCCACCCTGACCATCGGATCAGAGCTTGCACAGAGGCAGGGAGATCCACCGTCACTCAGGCTAGAAAATTAAACCCAGACCTAGGCAGCCTCAGCGTAATGGACATCGCATTGTTCTCTGCTCCTCTTGTGGTTTCTTTGTGGAGGATGCTTGCGTGCAAAAGGCCTTTAGTTCTCTCAGAGACCTTTGCTCCTCGTTTCCTGGCCTCACATTCAGTCACACCGGCTTTAGTGGTCCCTGTGGCTTAGGTTAAATAAATAGTCTAGAAGTCCTCTCAGTGGGATAGAAGGTGCAGGATTGGCACCAGGGACCTTCATCCATGTCCAGGGATGTGTTTAAAGAAAAATTAGATAATTGTATTTCACTATAATTGGCTTCTTTTGTAATCCTATGTATTTTATTTTATACACTTAAAAACATGATTCTGAGAAGGGCTCCATAGGCTTCACCTCACTGACTTCACCAAAAGGTGAAGCCCTCCTCTAGATAAACTCCAATTCACCTGGAATCTGTTTCCAGAATTAAATAAATCCAAGAAGTCAACATCATAGAAGCTGGCATTTACAGAGCAATTCAATGGATTTTTTTTCCTTTTGGCCAAAACCTTCCTTGCAATGAGCCAGCCCTAGTCATGGTAATTGGGGCAGAGACAGAGGGACCCCAGAGGCCATGGAGGTCACCCTTTGTGGGATCAGAAATCCTCCATGTGGCATCTTCAGCATGGCCTCAGTCTCATGCCACCAGTCTCCTGTCTTACATGAACAGCTCCAGTTCACCTTGTAAAACCGCCCACTCTCCACATCGGCTTACGACTTCCTGAGGCCGCGAGTTTGGTGACTGCCAAACTTGGCTTCTTGACTGGCAATTCCTGTGAGTTACTGACCTTCTTATGGAATGCTGCAGTCAGGAAGCCCTTAGAGACCACACATTTATAGAGCAGCTCTCTGCCTCTTGTTAACACTCTTTCCCTTTGCAGTGTCTGCACCTTTGTCTATGTGTCATGCTCCCCCCATGGAACATAAGCTCCTGAAGGACAAGGCCTGCGTCATTGTTGACTTTGTATTTCCAGCTTACTAGACGTTTGCCAGGTTGGACTGAATTGACTTGTGCCTGGTTTCACAGATTGCAACAGGTGGAGACATCTCTACAATCCAGGTCTTGTGGCTCCTTCTGAAGTGGGCTTTCTCATTGCACCTCTGCCATGCCTGTCACACCTGCAGGTCAGCGTCAGGCCAAATGGACTCCCTAATCTCTTCCTTTGAAGATATATGGGAGGTGCCTGCAACTTTTTCATTGGCCTAAGTGTTCAATACCCAATTACTCTGTTGGTGTTCCTGTTAATGGTCACAGTAGGGATAGGAATTGGTGCTAATAGGAATCTGAGTGATGCTTTGAGATACTTTTCACCATTTCCCAGCCCAAACATATCTTACCAGCATCATTATCATGGAACTCTAATTAGATTTGGATAAGTCCCCTTGGGCGGTCTTGTTTGGTATCCACTGGGATCGGGCATCTGCTTTCCATGTATTTGGTGCTGTTAAGACTTGAGCTGCTTCTTCCCAGAGGTGTCCACCCCTGACATTAGAGAGAGCTGTGCATTTTAAGAACTTTCTCCAAATGAAATACTCAGTTAAGATGGCATCCTCTTGAATTTCTTGATGCAGCAGCTGGTACCGCATGATGTCAGGAAAGATTGATGTTACTGATTTTCAGAGTTCCTGAGGACAGTGTTTGGGAGATGTAGCCCTTGAATCACAGCTGGCAACAATCCTTATTAGGACAGTAATCTGATGGGCTTAGGTTGATGCAAAAATACACAGATTTTGTTTGTTTTAATAGAATGGGATAGTAAATACAGGATTTCCTTCTGAAATTTGTGTTCAAATTTTATTTGCTTTTCTCTGGGTAGAGAGTGTCATTGAGTCAATAAACATTTATTAAACACCCACTGTGTGCCAGGCACTGGGCTAAGAACTGAGGATAGAAAAAGAAGCCAAAGTCAGGCCCTACTGACAAGGAGCTTACAATCTAATGCGGAGACAAGAGGAAAACAGCTGTGTACAAACAAGCTAAAAACAGGATCAGTTGGTGGTAGGTGGGGTGGGGGGGAACATCTGGAAATTTTGGAAAATAAGACTTCTTAACAAATGTCTCAAGATGAAAAAGACTTCATTTCCATGAAATGAATGCCCCCAGAATAGAAGAGGGCAGGCTTCTGTCTCTTTTCCCCCAGCCATTGACAATCAGCTGCTTTTGTTTCTAGAGTCTCCTCTGTTGTCAGACTATTCCCTCTGTGAGTAGGAAGGGGTGGACTATATTGGACATTGTATCTATGGGGCTAAAAATACTTTGGTCAAGGTGAACAGAAGAAACAAATGTGTTGCCTGTATTTTCCCCCCAAAGACAGCTTCTGTCAGTGAGGTCCTCTAGGACCAGAAATCTCTTAGATATAAAACTCTTAACCACCATCCAGCTTGGGCCATAGACTTTTATTAGCAGTGTGACCCAATTTATTTTTGCCAGTGTCCCATCATGGAAAGGTCAAGACTTGGTAGGACATTCAGGTGTTTAATCTTATTTTAGCCTTTTATAGTTAAGACAGCTATTCCTGAGCCCTCAATAAATATTTTCTCCCTCTACAGAAGCAGAGGATGTTATTTTGCTTCACGTGTGTTGTTGGATTTCAGAATTTGAACAATAACCTGTTTCTAGAGAATTGAGCGTGGTTTGTATCACTGACAAATATGGCTACTGAGTGGGTTTCTTCATAAAACTGTTATGTTAATTGGGACAGGACAGCCAAGGTCCAAGTCTACAAACCAAACACGGTGTTTTCACACATGGACCCTAACTGGCTGATGTCTGAGTGGGTGAGTGCCAGGGGTTTACTTGGCAGTTGCAATACGGAAGGTTTGTTAGAAAGCTGAGTTGAGCATCTGACTCAAGGCGCCATGTTGTGGTAGCCAGGGGGCAGCTTCTGGTTAGAGGACTGGGGAGGACTCAAATCCCGGCTCTGAGCTGGGGCAAGAAGCCACAGAGCCTCTCTGGGCTCAGTTTCCTTATCTGTCAAATGAAGGAGTTGGATTAGCTGATCTTCAGTCCCTTCCTGCTGTGAATGTTAGTGGGTGTACACGTGCACATGTGTTGTGTAAGGGTGATGAAGGGAGGAATGAAGGCAAGGGGAAGGGAAAGAGGAGGGAGGGTGAAAGAGAGAGAAGGGGAGAAATAAAGGAGTAAAGGGAAAGAGAGAGAGAATGAATACATGTTTAAAGGTGGGAGGAGGCTGTAAAATGTTTGTGCCCCCCTCCTCCCCCACCCGCATTTCTCTAAGCAAGGACATATGGACAGGCCTTTTAACAGCTACTCAACTCGATTGCATTTTTTGAGTTGGGAATGATTGCATGAGCCCAGCTTCCTTCTCTCTGATGCTTTCTCTTCCAGAAGACTAACCACTGGGTGAAGGGTGAGCTCCTTTTTCACCCTTTCTCCAGCCTTTCAGGCCGTGAGCAGCAGACCTGTGTTAGCTCGGTCCCTGTTTAACTCAGGATCATAACTTTGTCATTTTCAGAGTGTGATATGTGCCATCTTTAATGTAATAAAGAGAATACTTTTATTCGACAAATCTCTTCTCCTTAATCTTTATTCAGAAAGCCTTGGAAACGAACGCTTCAATTTGAGAAACATTGATGATGTCAACGTGAAGGGGAAAAGGAGGGAGATGAAGAGGGCCTGGAAATTCT